AACTCACGAAAAAAATATTTTTAATATTTGCTTCAAATGTTGGAATTGTGATAGGTTTTTTTTCCTCTGTTACTTAAACATAAAGCTCCTTAGCAAAGTTCTGTTGACGGGGTTTTCGTGATGAATGGATAATATCGTATGTTTAACGAATGTTAATTACGAATTTAAAAAAAAAAAAACGCATGTTAGAGACATTTTTGTTGAAGATTTTACAATAAATAGTTTGATGAGTATAGCGCGGAATTCGTGTTCCACGACCTTATCACGGCTGAGAATTTCCGTTATGATGTACTTAAGCACCTAACACGTTCTGTTCCATCAACAGTTAGCGCCCTGAACAAACATAAGAGGAGATCTGATTATACCATTCTTGTGTACACTAACGTTAGACCACTAAAAGCGGTATGTCGCACCCATTTACACTACCAACTATTCATCCAATCTGTAAAGTTAATTCTAAACGGTGCTTAAAAGTACCATTAAGATACGGGAAAAAGTGTGACAAGAAAGCGACAAAAATTTAGTTACTAACGTCTTGATGTAATTATGAACGATATTTGGTTATATATTTAAATCATAATTTTTCAGAAATTTGGAAAAGACTTTTTTATATTGAGCGTAATATTTAATGTATCAGTGTATTTACGGCTTGGTTATGGTCAGTGACAACAAAAAAATAAATAAGTAACGCGTAAAAATACAAGACAACAGTGGCTTTCTTCAAGTTTCACCGTGGGTGTCCAAGCCACGATCACTTAGCACTATGGCACATCGAGATAAGAACTTGTTCGTGGATGCATTCAGTTAAATGGCTTAACTGCCGCCGATTAGACAGTATATATTTTCGTAGAACAGAAACTTAAAAAAAAACTGCAACTGTTAATAGAAATCTCTAAAGTGCATACATGTGTTTTGTAGATATGGATGAAGAAAATTAGTTGAGAAAAGGTCGTGGAAAGTAGAAACCCTTTGGGGGACTGTGCGAGTTAAATGCAACAAAAAAATTCAAAATTCAACACTACTATAATTCTATGTTCTGCTTTTACAAAGGTTCAGCAGTGGCAGGCCGGTTGTTCTGCTTAAGGTACGTAAACCAGTATGTGCTGCATTAGTAGGGGCCCGCTCTCATTGAGTAGGGGCGTAAAGTAACACCGAGTTTCAACGTTTCTTGTTTGTCTAAACTCGAAATCCAATTAATGATAATGACATCAATGACTCATGTTTTAAACGTCTTAACGAATACGAGAGTGTTTTCTCAATCCTAATCTAACCAAGGCAGATTTGGATATAATATGAACCAAATAAAATTACCCGGTGGTAGGGCCTCGTAGGCTCGTCCGGGTAAGTACCACGACCTCACAGAAGACCGGCGTAAAGTGGAAGCATAATACTTTCGCGTTTCGTCTGGCGAGTGAGGTGGCCGGTGCGCAATTTTCAAAAGGTTTTCAATGCATCTGGAACCTTCGCGTGTACCAGATGTCCATGGAAAAAAAACACCCAGGATTTCTACTGTCTAATAATTTTATACACATAAATTTGTCTCTAAATTAAACATTAACGAATGATTGCGTGTATGACAAGTTTTCATATTTATAAATTTGAACTCTACTTCTACTTTGAAATATTTTATGTCGATAATATAGAGAGGTCTATGTTGGGGTGCTCGCTTTAATTGAGTGTACCCGAGCAATTCGATGGAAAATCTTTGATAAATGCAAATTTATCACGCTGTTCTGATAAACAGTGACGATGGTGCAGCAGGTGGTAATCACGACGAGAAAACTTGCATATCTAATGTACGAAACTTTTCAAAGATATGTTAAGTCCGGTAAGGACTTAACATATCTTTGAAACGTGACTTTGGTCCACTGATCCATAAGGGTCGCGTGGCGGAACAGATTTAATACCCTCTGTATAGAGATGGCCTTTGTTACATTGTTTGCCTTAGAAACCTCTGCCCAATAACTCTTAATTACTCTTCCTTTTTTATGATTTAGTCCAACGGTAAATACACTGTCATCGAAAAATTATGTTATCTCGAGTCAACATTTTCACTTTTCGCAGAAAATATCACAAAGGCTTCGTATAACGTCGCCGCTTCACGGGCGAATGTACGCGCAATCAATGGAGCCACTTAAACTAGATGGCGGTTTCAAAGCGAATAACTCTCCGCGCGATACATTTACGGCACATCGTCTCGCCTAGGAAAGCCTTATTATTCACTGAGCGTTTCTTTTGTGCCCCGCGAGATACCAATCTACGATCGTCCGGGCAACGAGCGATTCCATTTACACCTACGCTAAAATGTGATCGTAATCAAAATTAGTTTTTTGCGAATGCAAATATTGTTTTACGAAATATTAAAAAGGGAAATTTCTGAAGTCCTACTTCTCTTGAAGATGTAATTCTTTTGGCGCGTTTGGAAAAAATATGAGAGTAAAATTTTTATGATGCGCTCGCATTCCGACAGCCAAAAAGCGACATGATTACGATTTAAACAGTCGTTAACTTCCCCATGAATCTGTGCGTGAAGTTCTGTCCGCCGACTGCGATTCCAGAATTTAATATTGATACCATGACGATAAAAAATTACTTGTCAGTTGCCCTAATGAATGGTTGCCAGAATGAGCCAAGTGCACATAATTTTTGCATGTGCTTCCGAAGGTTCAGTACCTTTGCACTCGATTGATACCAGATGATGACCAGAAACGACTGCGTGTCGGGTGGTACCGTAAATAATAAAAAGAATTAATGGAGGACAGTTATTGGCCACCCAAACTACCGTTACTGCAGATTCCTATATGATCAATTGCTTCCCTTGAGTGTTAGAAATTCGCGAAAAGCATCCTAGCAGCAACGTAACTGTTCATCACATTAACGCGTTCGAATATTCCGTTAAGATAACGAATGCCTTTTTGATGGCCCAAAATGTAGACTGATAACGCATCCGCAATGCCACATAGACTCGCACTTTGCGACTTTTACGATTCACAAACTCGGCAGCGGCTGTGAATGCGTTTCTTCAAAGTCATTGAAGAGGTCTTTAGTTATAACTGCAGCCCCCGCTTCGCACAATAATACCTTCGTAAAATAATAAATGTACCATTTATATAAGAGATTTGGTCTTATTTTTAAATCCAGGAATTCTCAGTATGACCCGTAGCGGAGTCGTCTCTTCATCATCATCGCGCAATTGACAGACACAGGAAAATAATTTATACGTTTAAGATAATGGAAAATGTTATAAAATATGTCACTGCAGACGTACTCACTGAATTCGGCACTGACATCTACACTTGGCATTCATCACGAGGAAACTGTACCTATATCCTTCAAAGATGTATGACTTGTAAGCATTACTTTTCTCTGATGAAAGGTCAGGCAGAACAGAAAGTTGTCAGGCAATGAGACCAGTTTTACTCTTTTATAGTACGGAATCTTTGAAGGATTCTTTAGAAGAGGGACGGAAACAAATTCCTCATAGCTGGTAACTATCGTGAGCTTGTGAATTTCATTTCCCACCGCATTTTATTTTTAATAACGATTAACAAATTGGCTTTTACAATAACACTTGTCTTAGTTAAAGGTTATATGAATCGAGATAATTTCATTTTTAAACATATAACAGACATAGTGATTGTAAATTTAAACAGCAAACGGGCAAAGTGAAATCGTAAACAATGCTATGTCGCCTATTTACGGTTGACAGCCTCGCAATGGCTGGCAATGCCCGGCGCAGTTGGATAGAAGTATGAAGGTTCCATGCAATGAAAATAAAATATGTCTTTTATAATAATTGTAACAGCAACTACTGAATAAATACATCCTTAAGCGAGAAGTGGGCGTTCGGAGTCTGTTTTCAAGCTGTGCTCGGTTAAAATTTATGTTTATAGCTGTTCTTGTTAAGAAATGAGGTTTCGAAAGTGCTTTGGAATGTTGAAGTTAGTATAAACGGTTTCACGGCTATACCATTTAAAGAAAATTACCGATTAATATTTAATATACAAATCAGTTATACCTGAGAGCATTGTGTGACAAAAGACACGACGTCCCAATGACTGTATTAATTATTATGAATTTGGCAAAAACTCGTAAAAGATATTAGAAATTTTTATACACATGGAATAGGTAAAAAAAAATATCTGATTAGTCATTCATTATTGTTTTCCTTATCTTTCTTTGTCGTCAATAAGGCGGCGGCGGTGGCAACAAGGAGTAACAGTGGCGGACTTGAATAATTTCGCGTATGCCACTGTAGCCAATACAACCTTAAGTGGCTGCCATCGATTAATCTCTGTCGAACAAGATGAGCTTGGTTCCTCAGTACTAAGCTTTAATGTGAGAACTCGAGAATGTGAAAAAGATTCTTGACTAACGTATACAAAGCAATAAACTGCGAGATGTGATCTCACTCAAGTAATGTAAAGTTGTTACTTTAAGTCATAAAAGCGATCAACAGAAAATTGGCAGACTTCACATAGCTTCGAAACATTTTTTTTATTATTTAGAAAATACATATGTGAGATCCCTCACAATGTTTTCCTTTGCGGATGAAAACGTACATAATTAATCAGCAATGAAAATTGCAACCAACTTTTTTATTGGCATCGGCACCGGGATTTGAACTCCGGTTGTTCGAATACATTGAATTAAAAGCGAGCGCTATCTCATTATGAACGTTTAATGTACGCTTGGTTCTAGAAATAGCGTTCAAAAACGATATATTTAAAAGACGGCTTCCAAATACGTCAATGCTTAATTCATATGCAATTGAGAATAGAACACCGCTTAAAAACGCGGATCGATCGAACCGAACCGGTCTCATTCCTATACGGGACCGGGAGCTTAGCGCCGCGCCGAGCACGTTCCGATGCAAATGGGAGCATTTATGCGAGGCGCCTACAATGGTCATTACCGCGTCCAATTCGCCCTGAATTGCGCCGCTCTAAACAGCCGAACGGCGTGAAACGAAACGCCCGGCGAGCACATGCGGAATATTCATGACGCGCCCGTTAAATGGCGTACCTAGCGGTGCAATTGAATGGTGCGCAACCAAAGCCCCGCTTTGGACTGCGCCCGTAAAGAAATCACCAGACACCGAGTGCGAAGTGGGCGCCGACGTATGGGAACGCGAGAGGCGGGCCGCGGGTGATAATTCCTCACCAACTGCAACGGCCGCGTCTGGTGCTCAACAGACGTCCGTTCCCAGAGGCATTAAGTTATTAGCCGGGCGTTTGGCACCGATACACGTTCTACGGCCGAACGTTTCACTCTTGGATTTGAATTCAATAGACGGAATTAGAGAGCGCAAACGGCGCGCTAGCAAAACCGAACCGATAAAATGCGAACATTATGTGTTTAGCGGGATTTTCGGTCGGATTATATTCTGGAATGCTACTTCGGCGTGTTTCGTGAGTGATACTGTAGACTGTTTGGTTAATAAAAATATTTAAATATAGAGCCTAAAATTAATAAGGTATATTTATATTTTACTGTTTTCTATATACGATATAACTATGATGATCGATATTTGTTGACTTAAAAAAACATTCGAATGCATAAATAAGAATCGAATGCAATTTTAGAAATTAAGTCGAAGTAGTTTAATAAAAAATCTAGCAATGTTATACATTTTAGAATTCGGACTAAGCGAAGCAATTTTCGAAGTGAACGAAATTGTGTAGTACATTTTTTTTTTTTCAATATGGTCGGTAAAATTTGGGTTTAGTAATAATTTTCAGTACAAGTTTTGGAAAAAAAAAAAAAAAATATTTCATAATCTCGCATTTACACAGAAGGGTCAGTAAAAATAAAATATAAGTAAAAAAAAAACCGGCAAAGTGCAAGTCTAAATCGCAATAGCAATAATATTTATTCAATCTTTCTGATAACAATCAGAACCGGTCCATTACTCGATTTCGTTTCGACGTTGATTTATCACCCTGTATATACAAATTGTTATACATGCATCTATACAGTTTCCACGTAATGAGGTTTAATTATTAGTAAGTGTAATAAATACACAGATAATTGCTATAATATAGGCCCCGGGACTGTCGCGTCCATTGGACGGACGTAAATCTGCGAACAGTTGATTAGCTTAATTGAGATCATTAATTGGAGCGATCGCGAGGACAGCCGTATCGTGTTTAATTAACTAACGAATGGACGACCGTTCGATTATCATAATGTAGATACGTCGTCGTCCGCACCGCGCTTGTTCGTTGTCGATAAACATTCGAGACAAACACTAAATCGGTATAATATAGTTGTTAAATAAATATAAAAACGCAAGAAATAACCACTAATGATCACTCCGTGGCGCAGTTGCCAAGGTATTGGCTTCGGCGTCGGGGGTCGTGGGTTCGATACCCACGAGCGACAACTGTTGTGCGACCCACAGATAGAGGTTTCGCGTCTGGGTGTTTGTCCTCGTGCAATTTATGTATGTAAAACGTCCTTACAACACAGGATAATGTTACCCTAAAGGGAGGGCAATGTTTAAAAAAAATAATCTCTAAAGGAGCAGACAGAAAGAACTAGTGTATTTAAAGGTTTCACCAAGCACCCAAAACATGTTAACGGTAAATAATTCCCCTTTCACAGCTTAAAATTTTACGCGATTCGATCTACTGCCAGACTTTACCCCATAAGCAAGTTACAATAATTTATAAATCTTTTCGATACCAGAACAGATCTTGGTGAATCTATTCATGTTAGAAATAAACCAAAAATTAAAAGAAGAGAACTGAAAACTCATTTGAATTCGGACTTACGAGAAGTTCTATTCTAGTGAATGGACAACAGTTATAAATTTCTAAAATAACTTACTCCAATTCGATTCACATCTTGAACGAAATATATAAAGATCATTGTATGTAAAATAGGTGCAACAACTGTTAGTTATACAAATAGCCCAATCTCACACTTATTTATTCAAAAAAGGAGGAGTTGAAATACCTTACACGGCAATGATGGACACATAAAAAGACCCTGACTTATTACACCTACCTTAGCCCTGCATGTATGACGATTACATATATATAATCATATATGTCGATAGTAAAATAGAAGCTTTTTTAAATAGCGGATAACATGGTTAATTAATATTATAATAGGTCGGGAAAAAAGTCCGAAAAACTGATTGAAGTGGAAACTCACTATTTTTACCTAACAAATAACAGATCTCGAATTTAAAATTTTAATATTTATAAAACTTCACAGTGAATATCAAAAGAACACTGCAACCATATGCAGTTTATGTATCAATCAATGATCACGTCGAAATTTTTGAACAGTAAATTATTCATGGATCAATCAATCCATGATTAAAAAATATATTCACAGAGAGCCAAAATATCCATTCTCTTTTTTTTTTGTTGGAATATGTCTTGTTTGAGATTCCGCTAACTACAATATGCTTTTATGATTTATATGTTAATAAAGCTTAAAACTCCTGTCTCAATAAAATTTAACACGCAGTCAATTCTTCGGTGCATTTATGGTTTTGGTGTTTGCGGTTTTAGCCATTCAGGAAATTATAATGTACAAGAGAAGAAAATTCTAAGGAAAAAGAGTGTCATACGGACTTTGAAGAGACATCTGATATAAATTGCCTATAGAAAAACATATTTGTACAATTGATTTATTAGTACGACTTTGTGGCGATAGGTGGCGTTGTTTGTGTTTGTCTTATTTTATTTAACACGATGTTGAGATTTGCACCGTAATATTATACCCCTTGTTGATTTTTGAAATAAATTAATTACGACTATGTCAAAGACTGTGAATCCCAAAGTTCCTGTGAGTTCCTTTGAGTTCCAACCATTGGACAGTGTCCAGTTCAGTTCGAGGTGTGACTAGAACAAGGAGAAGATTTGTTCAATATTTAATATCAAAAGAATAAACTGTCATCAGCAACAATTATAGTTAAAGATAGTGTAGCGTAGAGTTGCTGTAAAACGATACAAAAGCTTTCTTAACAACAAAAAATAAAGTAATCATCAGATCGTCAAAACTTATCACAGTATTTGAAGCTGGTCCCGCCAGCGAATTATCTTGCATGTACAATTAACCGAACAACGGTCAGTTCGCGGGGACTCGGGTTTTGTTTATCACGAAGACGACGCATCGTTGAAGCTTTTAATCCTAAACAAATATCGGGAAGCCGCCTTGCCTGTTGAATTTACCATCTGCGGTGAGCCCAGTCCACCCGCAAGCATCCGACCAGATACAGTAAGAAACGGTAAGGGTATGATTAAATCTTGCAGCCGCGGCCAATAATATAAACAACTGATTAAACTGAGCCCGTGGTCACAAAAGGAGACATTAGTTAAGGGCCGGTCTCCGCTGCGTAGCGAACTGATACACGTAGAGTCAGGAAACGATAACTGGTACTCGAGGCACGAAACCCCCAGATTATTACCGCGAGTCGTGCTTTTAGCACCGCGTTGTACCTTTTGTTCGCTGTTATCAGTCACACTTCTCACCGCAGAGCCCTTTATGGAGTACAACTGATATTCGTAACCGTGACTTCTGCTATCATAGCTTTGTGTATAAATCGCATCTTTAGGTACCGATACGTATGTTGGAATATATATGAGATTAACAGGCTCCAAAAATCAATCATGATTGGTACATCTCGCGCACTTCAGTGTTGCTCGCGCTTATATGGAATCCATTACATTTCCCCTACTAATCCGACACCCTAAGGCCACTATCAGGGGAATAGGAATTTTACATGATGATATTAAAAAATCAGACTGACCCTCACTTTAATAATAGACGAGTGAATGAGCAAAAACTATACCTCTTTTCGCTTTACTCAAAAATAAACGGATTGATTCTGACCTTTACAAAATCAATATTAATAAAAATACACAGTTTATTTTTAATTTATTTATTTTTCGTCAATAGTGGCAAACATAAGCTTTATCGTGGTGTTCGAAGCATTAAATTTGATAAATAATATTAAAAACTCCTTTAAGTAATAATATATACGAATATTACACAATTACCTATAAAGTCTCTATTGTGATATATTTTATCCAGATTTAAGTGTTGAGCTGAACGACTAAAAGTATTAACGAACTTGGGAGAGTTTTACGGGGCGGCTGCTCATAATGAGAAGGAAGGATGCGCAGCCACGCAAATTTAACGATATTTTAAACTTTGAAATAACGCGATGAGCGAAGAGCGAATAATAAAATTACTACTACTATATACTATTATTTTAACTATACTGCTACTTTATATTTTAACAATACTACTAATATACTATTATTTTAACGCCTTATACAATTTTAATTAGCAATGATTTAACTTACAAACGTATGCAGGAATCATTTCTATACTCCTGTCCTTATTCCACCTAGGTGGGGTCGGCACAACATTTGATTCATGTTGTAAGTTGTTTTGGCTATGTATTTTACTTGAGGAACAAACACTCATAAGACATGAGACATTTACGCCCAGTTTCTGAAACACTGATCATCGTAGATGTCAACTAATCAGCTGAGAAATGGCTTTTCTAATTTCATTTTAGTTGCCAAAAGGATGGTTAAAATCTCTGAATTGATGATCACTGTTTTAGAAACCGGGCATTAATCCGACACTTCCTCTGTACATAAAACATTCAGATCCGGAACAGTTATATGTGAATCATACTTGTATACACTTGTCCGGTGTGAGAATCAAGCCCACGACTCCTGACGACTAAGCCCATAGCTAAGCCACGGCGCCAGCTACTCATCAAATATATGCAGGAACATATATTACTAGCGCCCCGCCCCGGCTTCGCGCGGGTGCAATGTATATATATATACATATAAACCTTCCTCTTGAATCACTCTATCTAGTAAAAAAACCGCATCAAGATCCGTTGCGTAGTTTTAAAGATCTAAGCATACATACGGACAGACAGACAGCGACGACTTTGTTTTATACTATGTGAGTGATATGTAAGCCGGGGCAAGTTAGTCATCTGCAATTATATCGCATTTTCCTTACAATGTAACAAGTAATGATAATGATTTGAGGTGAAAAAATAACGTAGCAAATACAAATCCGCTTGACGCTTACAAACCACACCGTCGTCTGTTTGGACAGCGCTATCGCGTAGCGCACTCGCTAATTTCCGCGGCCGACGTCCGCGTGACAACTTCTAGACTGTGAACGTGATTATCAGGCGATAGTTACTTGATTTATTACCAAGTCGTTTTCGATCAGTTTCACATAGGAACATTATATAAGAAAAAAATAGGAACATAAAACAAATATTGAAATACCCGCAAAACAGAAAAATTTAACAGCAAAAACAGAGAATACCTATAAGAGCGGAATAAACTACTTTCCACCCTCACAATAGAATACATTAATTAACATTATGAATAATTCTGAAATATCTGATTTCAGCTGAACTGTTATAAATGGAAGGTATTAAATCTTCAACAATTCCAAGATTTTATACGCTCCAAATCCGAATACCGAGTATAATGTTTTATAGTATAAATAAATAAACTAATATATATATGTACGATAATATAAACGTTCTACGATACTCCACATTTATTTATTTTCAATAAATATTTATCGAGTCACATATCGAAGTTCACATTTGATAAAATTGAAAACATCCAATCACTCCAATCACAAGAGCGCTATGAGAAAAACTCCCCGTGCTCGTTCTGACATTTCCAAACACAACTACAGATACCTTCTCAAAAATAAAAGAAACTTAAATGCCCCACTAAGACGCAAAGGGGCCGCTTCGGGTAGCTAACATGCGTTTCGTGTCAGCGATACTGGTACTCGGCAAAACAAACGATATGCTCGGTAGCAATCATTTGTGAACAGAGATCTTGGAGGAGCATACTGCATGTTTCGTTAGCATGCGCCCACGGTGTCCGACATGCTAAATCAATTAGTGGTTATTTACACCAGCTGTAAACGATGGGAGAATCGCTCCAGTTGGTTAAGGAACAATGCAGTTCTCCTGCTGCTTGGTTGCGACAATAGTAAGTCAATATGTTTGGGCCTTGGAAGCAGATACATAAAACGTATGTAGTCTTTTTGAATAAAGAATAAATAAAACGTATGTAGTCTTTTTGAGTAATTGATACTCGATCTGATGTTCGTGATCTTGAAATTGTTATTTGGTAAGGATTTTTTTAAATTGAATGCGCTGTTATGTTCTAGAACAGTAAATGTTTATTTTTGATTCCATGAAGTACAGATGGTTTGGCAATGTCCCAAGTATTAAAAATGTAATAAGCTAAAGAATACTAACGATGATTTGAATACTGTATAGTATAGTGATATAGAACGAAAATTAATTTTATGAAATAAACCCTCGTTCACATTGTATAGAATAGTATAGATTTATTTGTGATACTCGTATAGGTAATGCAAGGATACTGCGTAAGCGATATCGTTGAAAAGCGTTTCTAGTTCCATCGAGTACAGATAGTCCACGCACGGGCGTATCTTAGAAGCTTTCTGGCTATCGTTTGCGACCATTACATATGTAAATTGCACTTTCGTAATTTACGCTAATTGGCCTGCAGTTATCTGTCCGCACTACATTTCCATTATCGCGGAGATATTTCCCATCGATAGTTATCAATGCAATAGCCAAAAAAAGCAAGAGCAATAGCTATATGGAAATACAAATAAAATCAATTACGTACATATTTTTAATAGTTGGTAAGAATAATTTTTCGTGAGTTATTTTTGTATCTTTTCTTTTAATAAAAACGAACAAAGCCTAGGTACTATAATCCTCTCCCATTTTATAATAAAGGGTATATACTTTACAAAGCTGTCGCTACCTATAGATGGTTTTTTTCAATCCGTACAGTCTAAATGAGAAGAAAATGTGTATTTAGTTATTTTATAAACTCTGGTAAAAATATTAAAATTTTAAACAAATGTCTCCCGTTAGAATGGCGATCCTATATCGCTAGCATTGCGACGCTATCGATATATATACATGAAACAAATCCTCATTTTCCCCCGATACAAAGCGAAATGCAGCAGCGAGCGACGGGCGTTGGCTGTGTACTTTAAGAAAAGAAAAGCGGAGACATCGCAATACCCTTCCTGTTACAAGCACGAGCTAATAGCAAACTGGGAAAAACGCCCGATAGTGGTACGCGAGTTGATAATCCCGGCAGATGTCCCGGTGCGTCCGGGGAAACGACGGGACAGGGCTGTCCCGGCGTAAGATTCCCGGAAGATTGCCCGCGCTGATTCGCCGGGACAATGGACGCTGCAGCGTCTTCTGAGTTTATCCTACACGAACCGGCTGACAAATTTTGTATCAATGCCGCGTTATTTGTTCGCGGTTTTCGGTGAACATGTTTCGAACTTACTGCGAATCGTTTTTCTTTCGGCTTTGTTTCAAAATTAAATTTTTTTATGGTATACATGGTTAAATGAATCTACGCATTTTGTCCCTCATACGTGTCCTTTTTTTTGAAAAATGTCTTAGTACTTATCAATTCGAGATTATCGTTCATATGAACGTAAACTCATTGCATAATGAGGCACATGGCTACTATGGTGTACTGAACATACTTATGATAGCAATAAATTTTTCAAAATAAAACTAAAACAATGGAACGATTGTCTGGCCTTAACCATTAGGCACCTAGAGAGATAGATAGAAAGAGATAAATCTAACTAAAGTTGACACAAAACAGACTGATGTACACACGACACGGAAACATGAACACAAAATATAAACCTCTAATATAATTTAACCTTTTGACTATTATATTGTAAAGTTCATGTCAAAAAGGATTTCACTCAGCAGTTTCAGTAAAAACTGCAGCGCCTGATTTTCAGTGATGACACAAAAAAAATGGAGAATACGGTCACTGGTATAAAAGAAACCATACCATGATCAAAAAATAAAATTAAGAAAAAAAAGTAAAACTATAACAAAATAAAAACTAAAAAAAAAAAGAAATTACAAATGGGCACCTAATCGCCTTACTCTGCCTAGCGACTGAAACACAGGTAGTGCCGCAGCGGAGTCGCGGTTAAATTTGTCCGAAGCCGAAAGGGGCCCATCGCGAATTCTAAACGCGTACCCGTGCGGTGACAGTATCACGCGGCGTGCTTCTCACACGGGCAGGCAAAACAAGACTTCGCGTCGGCGCGCGGACGTCTCCGCAAAAAGCGCCGCATCTCCCGCGCTGTCCATTCCCGCTGCGCATCTTTATTTATTATTCAATAAAATCCCCCCCTCCCCCTCCCCCCCGTTCGCGGCTCGCCCATCGAAAAACTAGCACCGACGCCCGGGTAACCTATGTTTAATTCGGCGCGGGGTGTACATTAATAAAATTAGGCTATAAAATTTTGCGATACACTCGCGTTCCGTAACCGAGACGGGCCGTCGGGGGTCCCTTTTTCGCCAATTAGTTACGCGCTAACGCGTCCCTCTCTCCGCGCTCGGAATGCGCAAAAGCTGCGCGGACGCCGCGGCCGTCGCGATTTGCAAACAATGGCTTGTCGGCCGCCGTGTTACTGTCTGCGAGCTTACGAAATGCCGAATGTACGGCGTCAAATTAAACACCGATTTGATTTTGCATCATAATGTCGACGGCTGACCCGGATATCAAGGACGACTTCTTTATGTTTTGTGACCGCCATTTTATTACGTATGAGCCAATCACGTGATGGTTTTTCATTGGACTATTGCTATTCTTTTACATGATAAAGAATAGTGTTGGCGCTGGTAACACTGTATACCGGATATGACGTTATCTACTAGAGCGAAGAAACACATGGTCGCATAGAGCAGCGGTCACTTGTATTTCAGTTGCGTTCCCGGACGGTGATATAACCACTACTGCTGCTTGTCGTTATAATAATTGTAAATATTCAAGTTCAGTAATATTAGAATCAAGGTAAACACGTTAGAACTCTTATAATAGCAATAGTCCAATGTTTTTGGCGTGTGAGTTTACAAGAATATTATTCTAATCTATCTAATTTCTATCTATCTTATTTCTTGTACAAATAGTGACCTGGTCACATTGTATTAAAGGTAATAAATAAGCTCCGATGTCCTGATCGAAAACAGAACAAAATGGGCAACTAATCTTAATCAACATTAATTTAATTATATACGTGGGACTGATATGGTAGTAGATACGTATTTTGATTGGAGCCAACACGAACAAAGATCTTCCTTTGGGGCCGACGCCGCATGCCGATGCCTCTACTTCCCCATTAATAATGGCATTCGACTTTTAAGGCACGAAAGCCAAGCCACGCATTGTTGGATTCTGCTCAGCGTCTCCTATTGTGGCGTGAACAATAATTTGCAACTGAGCCCTCGCCTTAAGACGGCGAAAGGATCAAGTAACTGTGGCTTTAGACGAAGCATTAGGCTTTCAAGAGTAATCCTTTTCCACTAAGCTGGATTACTAACTGTTAGCCTGCGTATTCTCTCCAATGCACAGAGCACGTTTACATACGACCAATCTCGAAACAATTAAGTTATGCATAATATGTTTGTGTTTGATTTACGCGATGGAATAGTTAAGTTACAAATATTAGTCAACATTGTTACTTATTTCAACTCACCAATATTTTTTTGTTTAGGGTAAAATTAAGTTTAATATTAGAAGAGATGCATTTGTTTGAGATTTTTACGAAAAAAAAATCTATTTACAATATAACTCATCAATCATATCGTTCATGCACTTTTGATACTTTTTTAATTAAAACTTCTACATTCCAGGTAGAAGTAAAATGTGCGACTACTTTTAAGCCTAATTTAAACGTGTAAATAACTGGCACGATTTTTCATATCAAAGATCTTATAAAATTGTTCCCTCATTGTTGTGAGGTACTACATAATATTATTATAAATTAATGTTTAAGCCGGCAAAAATATATTTGAAACTTCTGAGGTATTTAGACTGTAACAAAATTGCGTACCTATTATACACCTGGTGTGTCGTATTGTATTTGTAACTTTAATACCCGCCGTTGTTCTGCTAGCAAATATAAATAGAACGAAGCTTTGTTGTTGCGATGATATAATCCTTATCATTCGGTATTTCAAATAACAATCTATATATAACGAAAACAAGCTTCAAGGATTCAAAAGACCTTGAAGCTTGTCTTGTATATTTTGATACACTTCAAATTTAAAATTATTTCTGATATCTCGTAATCGAACCGGTTTTCGCATATATATATATATATATATATATATATATATATATATATATATGTATATATATATATATATATGTATATATGGCTTGATGACTCCGTGGCGTAGTTACCAAGACATTGGTTTCAACGCCGGGGGTCGTGGGTTAAATTCTCACATGGGAGAGCTATTTGTGTGACTCACAGATAATTGTTTCGCATCTGAGTGTCCACGTGAAACATATGTTTATAAAACGTCGTTACAACACAAGATAATGTTATTCTAAAGAAAGGGCAATGTTTTATAAAAAATAAATAAGAAAAAAATTTGCAAGTATTTTCCCGTTTCATTAAGCTAATTAAGTAATAAATAGGTTATTAACTTAACTTTCAAATAACTAGGCTTGTATCCCAGTTTAAGCTGTTATAATATACAGCTATTTTATAGAGAGTGCCTTCCAATTTTTTTTACGTGACAAGTTGACGAGAGAATACCGCCGCCCATGGACATCTACTACACCCGAGGGCTTGTAGATGCCTTGGCAACCTCTAAAAAATTGGGCCCCGGTTACCTCAGTCACCAGACGAAGCGCGAAAGTTTAATACTTCCACTTCACGCCGGTCTTCTATAAGGCCGACATACTTCCCCGGACGCGCTCCGCCCATTCGTGTATCAATGTTGCGTGGCCCTACCACGGTAAAAGATTAGGATATAAACTAATAAACAATTTTCGAAAATTTTTAAATTACCAAGAAATAAACACACAACGTGTAAGAAAGACGTTTGCAGTCTTCCATTTCACTTACTATTGACGTTGTCTCCAATTTTTATATCATACTAGCGATCCGCCCCAGCTTCGCGCAGGTGCAATGTATTATACATATATACCTTCTTCTTGAATGACTCTATCTAGTAAAAAAGCACTGTTTGTCTATCGCTATGCATACATAGCGATAGACAAACAGCGGGACAACTTTGTTCTATACTATGTAGTGATAGGTACTCGTATTTACGCATAAGACCAGATAAGCGTACAATTCGTAAATACGGAAATATTGAATAAGACTATATACAAAAACTAACACCTCTAAAAGGACCTCTCATGAAATATTAGTTAGAGCACGTAATCCTTACATAATTATGTTACAGTAAACAAGAAACTTAATAAACATAAAAGATTGTGTAGGACGGTAACTTTTTAAAAAGTTACCCTGAAAATCAGTACATACCAAATGAAAAACTAGACTTTTTCAAACACTTTCCAAGAGCTACTTCACCTGATTTAATTAAAAATATTGGAGTTCAATGGGAGTGCTGCAATCGCATATTAAACACATTACTCTAGCGTCGAGCATGCTTGAAAATTTGCTCGGTATTTTTGAAAAAAAAATTATTTATACTTTTTAACGAACCTTACCGAGTGATATTGCATGATCTAAGGTCATTTAGACTTATTTGAGTTCACCACGATACACACGGTTAAACTAATTGGTGTACAAAACCCAAGGTTAAATGAGTTAAATTTATTTTAATTAAGTTCAATTACGATCTCGTCATAATTCAATAAATTCATTAAATAACTTAATAAAATTTAAATTTCATACCACTACTGCATACTTTTTATTTTTTTACATTTATACTGTACTATAATTCCTTTTTTTATTTGATTTCTTGATTACTTACGTAGTAATGCGAATCTTCGTGAACTCGATTGCTCGTTTATACTAATTTTTCATAAAAAAATTAAATATTTTTTTATATAATATACAATATTTTTTTAATATAATATAAATAAATTTATATTTTTTTAATTAATAAAAAATATAAATATAGAAATATAATAATAATATATATTTATTAAATTAAATAATTTAATAATTATTATTTTATGTTAAAATTTTTTGGGTTGTATTGCATTAACGAATATGCGTCGCATGGAACACTTCTTTATTTCTATAATGAAATAAGAAAACAATCTTAGTCCATTCCCCTTCTCATTAGACAATAAATCAGAGGAACACGCCTGTCTTGAGGCATGGGTTCAAATTTTAATTATGTTGCCTACTGACGTAAAAGTCACTGCAATGGGTTGAATCCTCTTTTTTATTTTGTAAAAAAAAACATTGCTCTTACTTAAGGATAACATTATCCTGTGTTGTAAGGACGGTTTTAAAAACATAAATTTCACGAATTTAAAATTCAATTTAGCATTTCAAAAGGATTTTATAATGATGACGAACGATTTAACAGATATATACTAGGTATAACAGATATATACTTTAACAGATATATATTTAACAAATATATATAGGGGCAATATAAATTTTATCACAGTTCTTTTAACAGGAGGTTCAAAATATATTTTCTTTTTTATTAAATCTACATTTGTATATAAAAGTGAGATACGAATTATTTAAAATTTAAACCAACTTAAAGAAGGCCTTGAACTATTTTTTCTTCTTAAAACTATTTTCATATAACTCTTGATGTCGAACACGAGATTCAGAAGTCGGTAGCAACGATCTAATCCCCAGTACCATCGGTTGCGCTCATTAACGAGATTTATGGGTGAAACATAAACTTGCCTACGTTGTCGTGAGGCCTAAGCTAAAACTAAATCTTTGTTTACGACCGAAAGATTGGCGAGATACCGCGTTCTTTGGTGTCTTATGCATGGATTCTGGTTCGTCACCGCTGATTTATCAAATAGAAAGCTGAGAGAGCTTCCCGACTCACCTAATATATTATGTGAATGTTGAGACTCACTCGAGGGCTCACCGTATAATTAAATCGAAAAAATATATAAAGTTCGAAGCAATAAAAAGTTAGTGTGATAAATTCGTTAAATACATGACAACATTGATTTTTTTATTTAATAAACTACGAGTGCAGCACACCTTACACATAAAAGTACGCAAGAACGAACGAGTAATTATTATGTACGGCACGTAAGGTATACTATAAGGCGTATAAAAAAAATAACTAATCATTTTATCCTCTGTGCCAGTACTTGTTTTTGTGAAAAAGAAATTTAGCTGTCGGTGTGCGAGCGCATTGTAAAAATTTACTCTCATATTTTTTTCCAAACGCGTCAAAAGGAGTATAACCTCAAAAAAG